CCCAGTAGGTTTAATTACGGACTGGCCGTTCAGCAGCTAGAAATTCAGACAAATAAAAGAATAAAGTCACGAGTGTGGTGCAAGTGGTATAGGAGTAGATATTGGAACGTACTGTGTTCACCAAATGCTTCCATAACTTTGGATGTAGACAACAAACACGTAGATTAAACTGAATGGATCGGTGCGACCGAACCGGTTGTTGGCATCGGAAATGCCGACCATAACACTACGAAATGATTCTAGTTAGCTAGCACGAAGTCCCCTCCCTGTTGTTTGTTAATCAGGTGGCCGTTGATCTGTTCGCCGAACTTGGCATTGGACTTGCAAACGTTTCGTTGCCATACGAGGAGACATCCACAGTACGCAGTTGAGTGGGTACTTCCTGTTTGCCTGTGCGCATTTACAAGCTATTCAAAGGCTGTCGGTTATCTCCTGACCTGATTGGCTTGTTGTGTGACAGCGTCTTTGTTGAATTTACTGTTACGTTAGCCATCTTCTTTGCATTGTGGTTTGCGTTTCTTCAAGTGGCCTGGTCATCTCATTTTCAATAGTCTTCTCCGTTTTGATTTGCCTTTTTCTCGATTCGCATTGGTGAAACATTTGCGGGCCAATTGCCAAGTTCGGCGGCCTACTAACATTTCTACGCATCCACGTCCCTGTCTGCATTTATCATTTTCCTCACAATAAGGCTTTCAAATCAATCATGGTTGCAATGTAGTAAACCATGGTTGTTGAACCTATACGGTTCTCTGACGTGTATATTAGTGCATGCTTTCCCTGCTAACAAGAAGTGGAGAAGAAAATCGTTGATCAAAGTTGCCCTGCATTTTAATAATAAGCACGCTGTTAGCCTGCTGTGCAGTCGCATCTTTTGGTGCTCCGACTCCGATACATTTTTCTCGGATCTATTTTGTCCTACGACATACCATTCGATTTCTCTTTGGGGGATCTATTGGAATATACCATCTATATTCATCTGTGAACATTTTTCACGGTGTTCACGACGAACGGATTTACAACGTACGCGGCCACCACATCCACGCGTACAAGTATGCTCGGTTTTATTGGCCGTTATCCCGTTTCTACACACGGATTTACTACGCGGCCACCACATCCACGCGTACAAGTATGCTCGGTTTTATTGGCCGTTATCCCGTTTCTACACTAGAAGAAATCGGTCGGAAAGTTCTATCTAGTGCAGTAAATTTCACTAAGATCGGCGAAGTATTACGCCAGCTACCAGCTTTCATACATCCGCTGAAATTCGTCCTACGTGCTACCCCACATGCCCTGCCAGGGTCCAAACCGCACACACGACCCGCTCATCCGATGCAGGCGACCAGGCCGACAAAGAACCGCAAAGCGTCCACACCCACGCAGACCCTGCTTGCACTCCGAGGACTGTTGAGGAAACCAGACCAAACAGCACCAAGACAAAAAATACGAATGTTACTGAACCTGAGCCAGCGGAACTCAACGGCATACACAAGAACATGGGAATTGTCGGTTGCCCCGCATCGAAGGTTACCAACCATACTAGGAAACTGAAACCGAAACCTCCGACCGCCGAATCGCATCATCAAGACAAACCCAGACTTCTCAAAGGAACTGTTAATACAGAAAAAGAATTAGAAAATATACTGTTGTCAACCTTTCGACTCCAGAGCGATTCGAAAAGTAGCGCGCGAGTTCAAGCTGACGTACCATGGACGGAACGATCTCGTAATGTCGAAAATCAAGCGACTAATAATCGTGCTGATGATCGGAGCTTGATCATTCTGGGTGTCCCTGAGATTGACGATGCCTCCGATAAAACGGCACGCATTTCACATGACGTTCTACAGTGGAAGTTTCTGAGTAGTACGCT